ATCAATGGCTATCACACCAATATGTTGTACAAATATACCCCTGATATATAATAAAACATCCCCGTTGGCATGGTACCGCCGAAAAAGGCCCGTGGTTTTCACCGATTTGGTTTCCACGTTAAAAGTCTATTGTCTATATTTTTGTTGATATATTTTCCATATTTTATACATATATCGTATAGACCAAAAAATACACACCCGGGGGGTTTTGGTCTATCAAATGGTGCTCTTGTTGAGAGAAGAAATAATGCTCAAGGGATATCCTCTCTTCCAGATGGGTTACAAGCATTACTCTTCTCAAAAAAAAAAATATAGATCCACATCCTGACCGAGTCAACTCCAAATCTCTGTCCCAAGGTCTCTTGTCCGGATCTAACTTCAGATCTCATTCACTGAACCTTGGTGCTGTGTTGATGACCGGAGTTTACTAAGATCAGAGGAGGAGCGGTAGATTTGGAGAACCTTGCCGGATTCCACTGTGGATCGTCTCACGGGTCACCTCACCGGCTATCGTTGCTGGTCACCTCGCCGCTGACCGCCGCGGGTCACCTCATCCTTGACCGCCGCTGGTCGCCGTGTCGTTGACTGCCACGATCTCCTCTGCGGGTGGCCGGATCTCCAATTGCTGCCGGATTACAACACTCACTATGGGATTTTAGAACCACGATGGAGGTGCGAGTGGGTCCTCTCAGAACCGCTAGGTCGCCCGTAGAACCGCTGACCACCGTTGCTCGCCTAACAGCTGACCACCCCAGCTCGCCTCAAGGCTGACCGCAGTTGGTCGCCTCCCCGCTGACCGCTGTTGGTCGCCTCACCGTGGGCTGTCGCTGGTCACCTCTTCGCTGACCGGCCTGGGTCGCGTCACAGTGAAGCTGTGCTAGGTCACAAGGCTCTAATTGCCACTATTGAAGACCGGATCTCGTAGAGCTCCATATTACCGATGAGGCCGCTAAAAATTCAGGTAATATCCCCATTGTCCGTTGCAGCCCGCAGAAGTTACCACCACTGCAAGGAGATATCAGAGGTCGCCACTGCTTGCGGCCAGATCCCGTGGTACCCTCAAACTAAGCCGTCATTCCGCCACGTCTCAGACAACATCGGAAGCCTTGCTCCACCCCGTCCCTGTCTAGATCTGTGCTCTGCTAGTCTGGTGCTATTTCCGCACGACCTGGTTGCCTTACCGTTGACCGCTGCTGGTCGCCTCACGGTGGGCCGCCGCTGGTCGCCTCTTCGCTGACAGGGCGGGGTTGCACTATCACTCTGCGCCACAGGTTGTTTCAAAGTGAACCATGGTTGGACGCCTCGTAGTTGAACGTCGTGGCTCACCTCGCAGTTGACCACCCAGCTCGTCTCACGGCTAACCGATGCTGGTCGCTTCACGGCTGACTGCTGGTGGTCGCTTCACGGCTGACTGCTGCTGGTCGCCTCACGGCTGACCGCTGCTGGTCGCCTCACGGCTGACCGCTGCTGGTCGCCTCACGGCTGACCGCTGCTGGTCGCCTCCCCGCTGACCGCCACTGGTCGCCTCCCCGTCGACCTCCGTTGGTCGCCTCACTGCTCACCGCCACTGGTCGTGTTGCCCTGAAGTAGTGCTGGTAGCCTCACAAAAAACAAATCCACCGATTTAGCTCAATCCAAGCAGAAGTCCATCAAATTGGGTCCATAAATGAAATCCTATGACCCAAGAGCTCCAAAATCACTGCAAAAACACAACAGAATCAAGAGGAAACAGTGATTGGAAATTGACAGTGAACCGTATTCAAAGTTACAGCCCAGCGGCCTTCTATCGCCGAGCGAGAGGTAGCTAACTGTCGGTGGAGGAGGAGCGGATTGCTAAATACGGGTCAAAGCTTGGATGGCTCCATCTCGCACACACCTCCACCATGGACTTTCCTGCCGCGGCTCGCCTCATTGCCGACCGCCGCTGACCGCTGTAGTGTCGTCATGACCGATGCTTCCCAGCTCGATGAAGCCCCATCGGATTTCACGTTGGATCTGCCGAATGTTTGGCGGTCCTTTAAGAGAAAGAGGGGATGTCGTTGAGTAGTGTGCTCACAAGTGAGAAACTTGTTGGAGCCACTTGCTCACAAACAAAAAAAAACAAAGAAAACTGAAGACGACCAACGTGAGGCCTGCTCCAAACTTTGTGTCATAAAAATCTTCAGTCTATTAGAGTTTGACGTGTGACCTCCAAATTTGAGGGGTCATGCCATGAAGAACTCAAAAATTTTGGATGACGCCAGAAGCAAACCGTGTGAAAATCACTAGGGAAATGCTACAATTGGCTAAGTCCTAAGAGTTCACACCCCGGGATGAGTGGGTGCGTTCTCCCAAGTCATCGATGCAACAAATAAAACAATAGGCAAAGCCTATCTAAGCCCACAAAAGTGGCACCCAACCAAACCCTCACAAATACAACCTCTCCAAGAGAGATTCATCAAAGTCCCCTCCCGAGGTAGGCCATAAACCACCTCGCGGGGCTTAACTTAAGCCCTCGTCCTACGAGGCACAAAAGTCCTCTCCCGAGGTCGGTCCTAGATCACCTCGCGGGGCTCCAATTAAGTCCCTGTCCTACGAGGCACAAAAGCCCTCCCCCGAGGCCGGACCAAAAATTACCTCGCGAGGCGACCAAATCTCTCATTCTTTGAGGTTCCTAAAAGTCCTCCCCTCGAAACACAACGAAGCCATCTCATAGACTTCGTAGTCGCTCGACGAGGCAAGTATGTTTCTAACTTTCTTAGGTACTAAAAGAAGAGGAGCTTAAGGAGTCAAGATTTATGCCTACACTGCCAGAAGCTTCAAGGGATTCCGGTACAAGAGAGTGTCGATTGAAGAAATTCACATAGACAAAGACAGACTATAGTTTCTCAGTCAACACTTCGTGTTCACTAAGAAACTGGGGGGCTTGTGATGTGATAATATCCATTGGGCCTGATTAA